ATCGGGCATGAAGTTTCTCACTTTTATTTCATCCATATCATTATTGCAAAGATCTTTATCCCCTTTTCCTCATTTCTCTTAAAACATTTAATAGCTTTTAGGTCTTTCAAAAGATGGATGTATTTCATTAATACTATTCTTTTATGAGATAATAGTCTTAAACTTAGCCTTAAAGCAGAATTTTTAAAGGCTCAACAGTTTAGGAGAAGCTTTTCATGTTTGATTTTAAAATTACATTATAAAAGGTATTCACTGTCCTCCACCAAAATTCACTCATCTAATCATCCAACACTGTACTTTGGTCACAAATCTGTACTTTGGTCACAAATCTGAAATGACAAGAAGTTGAATTTTGATCAATATAAGAAAGCACAATTCTAAGATAAATAGATTCAATCCAATATTTCACATCCTCTGTAGCTATAAGTATTGCTTGTCGTGACATATTTGATCTAGATTTGCAGATAAAATACAGTACATATACTTACATTGGAATTTTTGACAAATATATATTTAAAATGACTAAAATGACTTGCAATTTATCTAAAACTGACTTGCAGTTTATCTAAAATTCAAATTTAACTAGGCATGATGCATTTCTGTTTGCTAAATCTTATAGTCTTAAATCTGAGTGCTCAATAAAATGATCATTTTTATCAAGTACACTTTTTTAATATGCCAAGATGGACTGAATGGATCATGAGTCAGGAAGTCTTCCAGCTGAAACAGATAAAATAAAGGGTTCTAGTAAATCAGTACTGCATCATCCATTACCTTCAGCATCAATAGTGAAGGTCTAAGCCAACTAATTGATGCCTAAATATGGTTTTTACAATTTCAAACATGACACCCCTGGACTGATGGGTTAGTATCTATTTGTTACTTCCATGTGGATCAGAGTTGGGTGATGTGTGAGAGGGGTGTGGATTCTCTAGAGATGTCACATCTGTTGAAGCTGAGATGTGAGCTTGCTTTGCGATCGGTTTCATCACAGTTGGTGTTTCCATCATCATTACGAAGTTTGTGATAAACGTTTAAATTAACCACCACTGTAACGGCAGGCACTAGTGGCTCCTGCCTATCATTAATTTATTTAGTTGGAAAGGGAATTTCAACATGTGGCTAGACCTGTTACCGACTTTTAGTGCATTAAAGACTCTTCTGGGACATTTCTAGTCATTTTATTTTATTTTTTGATATAAAATCATTTCTCCTTCAAATGGTAGAATTTAGCACTGTTTCACACATATGACTGAATGAATCCCACACTTCTCCACTCATAATTCAGATGTCTGGGAGTATTTGCAAATATTTAGCACCTGCACCTCAATCTTTCATCTTCAAAAATCTTATTTTTATTTAAGAAAAGAGTGTATGACCAAGAACAACAGTTTACAGTGTTCACTCGATTAAACAAAACCATTCATGGAATTTGAGTGGTTCCATCTGAACCAGACAGTTTAGACTGATGCAGTGTGGAAAGGATGTGGAGCTGCAGAAGAATTAATGTGAAGTATATGATTCTGGCAGTGGCGAGGCCCTATGAATACCATCAATTGGAGATTTTTTAAAAGTATCTAAATGTGTTTACACAGCTGGATATTCAGTTTCAGCTTGATCTCTTTTCTTCATGTTTCCAGGTTATTTACAAATGTGTTTCCCTCTGCTTTTTCCTACATGCATTTTATTTTCCAACTTTGGGTTTTAAAACCTAGGATAGCAACATAATATTGTGAAACCATTTCTGGTTTATGTTTTACGTTGCTGTACCATGAGTATTGGGAGAAAAGGAAGTATCCAGAATGTAAACATTTTAAAATAGAATCTTACAGCTTTATCTAATCAAAGAAAACAAGAATTAATTTTACAAAAAAACATTTATTTCTAAGTGAAAGATTAACTTTCTGCAATCGAGGATTAGTGTTGACAACATCTGAAATTCAGCAATCTTCTAAAATCGCAATCCTGTTTAATGTTATGGTTTCCTCTTTGTATATCCTTGGTTTTTGTCAGAATTCTTTAAACTTAATCTAAAGTCAGTGCGATGTAAGGGATGGAGAATGTGATGTGAATTTTAAAGACCCCTGTCCTTGTCCCAGGCCCAATTGCTGCCTGTTTGATTTAGAGAAGTTATTTCACCTCTGCATGCCCCAGATTTCTCTCCTGTGAAACGGAGAGTTATTTTTCAGCTGCATTCTTCACTTAGTGTCAGGAGGCCTAATGAGATAATGTGCCAGAACCGTTTCCCTGAATCATCTTCTGGGGAGAATGTGAGTGTGCGGGCACGGGGCGGACCCTGCGAGTGGAGAGAGGGTGCTTCCTTTTCCTTGCAGCCACACGGAGGGGGAGGGGTCCCGACACCACTGTTTTTGGCCACAGAATCCACAAGGGCCTAAGTACATCCAGGATAGGGAAGGGCAAAAGGCTTGGGAAAGCCCAGAAGGGAAAATGGTAAAGTATAAGGGGAGAAAAACGAATAGAAATCAAAGATGGGCGTATGAAAACATACGACTTATCATCTTCAATGATTTGTTTCTGTTCACTGAAGAATTTGTTAGAACATTGCCTGGCATATTGTAGGAGCTCAGTAAATATTTTTGGATGAATGAATTGCTGTTAATTTGTCACTCCTGATGCACCAGAGTTCTTCCTATCGTAGACAGTGCTGGCTATGCCATTAGGATCCTTTTTTCTGTTATGCTCCAGAGGACTCCAGCATGAAGCAGTACTGAGGAGTATTCAATGTACAGTGAATTTCTTGGTGCAGTCGTCTCCCTGTTGTTCCTTAGTATTTCTCTTTTCCCGTGTTTCTCACATCTTTCCATGGTCTGAGATGGTTTCCTCATAGCACTGCCTTTCTCTGTGCTTTAGAGAATTTTCCCCCTTGCAATGAACACGAAATTCCGGCTTTATGCACAAACCTCCTCATAGGCAGGCAAGTAGACTACCTTGCAGCTGGAGCTGGGTCTTTCCCTTTGGCTGACAATAAATCTGTCTGAAAGGTAAGGGAATGGCTTTGCTTTGGCCCTGAAGGGAGTATGTATTCCCTGGCACGAAGGGGAAAAATCAAACTGTCCCCATTTTCCTAAGTTAAATGAGTTCGTTTTCCCTCCATATACTCATGGTTCCCAATCATTTTTGGCTTGGAGCCCACCGACCACCCCACCCCCCAACTTGCTGCAGTGCTCTTTAGCTAAAATTCCCACGGCCGCTGCTGTTCTAACCTTTTTGAAAAGCTCTCTTCTAAGGAAAAATATCTTAGTTAATAAATGTGCAAACTTGCTTTTTGCTTGGACTTGTTGTCTGCCTTTAGGGTCTCATCATCTTTGTGGATGACACCAACCTCACTGCCTGCTGCCCCTGTGCACCCTGAAATCCACTTCCACGCTCTCCAGTGAGATGTTACTGCACTTTTCTGTGCCAATTCTGCAAGTTCATTTTTCCTTGAGATCTGTGTATGGCATGTCTGGCAGCCAATAAAGAATGAAACAACAAATCACGGGTCAGAGATTTCTGTTTCTGGTATTAGAGAAGACTAAGTGGTATTCAGGGAAGCCTCTTTCTGTATCAAACACTTGAAAAATATTCTGGATTAAAGATTAAATTTTATTAAAAGTATGGCTTCAGCAGTAATGAGAAGGAAAAGACCAGGGGCCAGGAATGTCCAAGTCCAGACGGGTAAGGAAGTGCTAGGTCTGGCATGTGCTTCAGGGTAGCACCAATAGCTGGCTTTTTAGTCCTCGAGTTGTCCTGATAATAAGTTAACAGGAGTCACAAGAGAAAGGGCCCAAATTAAGTAGAAAATAACAAGGCAGATCTTGCATAAAATTTAGACACTCGAGGCATAACACACTTTTAAGAAACAAAAATCCTCACAGCAGAGGCTCTCTGCATACCTGTCCTTCTCAATCTTTCAGCAAGGTGGAAACAGGGAAAAAGCCTCTCGAAAATTCCTAACTTTAAGTTTACATTTATACGGACTTTTCAGCCAGAATTTACACCGTGTGTCTAACTTGCACTTATCTAATCTGCAAAGAAAGTAAAAATACAGCTTCAGGGAGTCCTAGAATGATATTGCACATTTAATGGCAGATCCATACTGCATGTTGACAATCAGAACAAACTGTTGTACAAAACACTGCACACACACCCTAGTGCACTAGGCTTTGTGGAAGGACAGGGCTCCCTAGGGAGGGACCAGGGCAGTAGGTGGGGACAGTAATTAGGACTCTGAGGCAGCAGCCCTTTGCCAATTCGCATCTCCAGTTTTCAGTTGTTTCATAACTGACATGGGAATTTCAGCCTTGGACATGATTAAGTCCCTCAACTGTTTTCTCTCTTAGCCTCCTCCTCTTTTCTAGCCTGTCTGTTGCACCGGGTTATAAAATAATGCCTGTGAAAACACTTGGTGAAAACACAAATAGCAGTCAATGAATGTACAGTTTTTCTACAGTTTTGCTTCAGTGTAACAGGTAATGCTTTATGGTTTGAAATAATTTAGTTAGTTCCTCAAAATGCTCAATGTGGAGGTTTCATATGATTTTCTCATCTGAATTTCTATTGGATCAATAACGTTTGCTGTTAAATGAAATGTGGTGAAAGATGGCCAGTAAAGTATACTTCAGGGAGAAGTTTCACAAAAGCATAACTCTTTCCCTGGAACAAAGCTCTCTCGAGCACTTAAAACTGGGAAGGAGCGCTGGAGGTGTTAATCAGAAAGGTGACAAGCGTAATGTGGCAGTCTCGTGGGGCACACTGCTGAAGAGGTGCGGATATTGCAAGGAGTCGCTTTTAAGGCCAACAAACAGCTTAACACTGCTGGAAAAAGGATGGAAATTGGGTGGGCAGAAGCTGGGCTCCTCTTCAAAAAGGAAGCCAAAAGATCAAAGAGGAAATGTTAACACTCAGTTAAGGAAGAGATACTAAGGAAAGGTTAAACATTAACCAAGAAACAAAAGATCCCACCATTTCCCCACTACACAAAGAAGACTGGGCATCACCTTTGGTACTAAGAGGAGTGAAGAAAGTCGCTTCTTTAACTGGTGATGCTTTGTTTCCTTTTGATGTTGGGAAGCAGAGTCTGGGTGGCAAACAGAGGTCATCCAGGCTGAAGAGTTAAGCATCCAGCGACCTAGAGGACCGTGAAGGGCTGTACTGGTCCACAGTGGGAGGTGAGTGATGACCCAGGCCATCCAGAGAACTGACTCTCACTTCCGTGCAGGCTCAGGTGCGCTAGAGTCTCCAAGCAGAACCGGAAGCCAGGGCACGGAGGGAAAGTGCCGGGAAACCTGCCTCGGACAAGTGGTTCTGAGTCACAAAGACTAGGTTTCTATATCGAAGAACATCAAAAAATTTTAACAGAAACAACAAGGGAACTTGACATCTTCCGCTTTTTCTCTGTGTCACTTCCCTGGGCCACCACTGCTCACGGAGGCAGGAGAAGCACAGAGGAGTGGACTTCCGGCTCTCTGCCGGAAGGAAGATTATTCTTCTCACCAGCCTGTTTCCGTGCACGGGCTTCCTTCCTTCATTTCAAAGTTCCTTGGCTTGGGGTTTTCTATAACCTCACCTCCATTTGCAAGACTCTGAAACCTACAACCACGGCAGCTCCTTCCAAAAACAATAAAAATATAGTGAGATAAAATCAAGATAGTATTGGAAAGGTCACTTGCCTTTCCTGTCAGTTGTATAGTAGAAGTTAGAAGTACAAGGAGAATTCTTTCGGAGTTCTTAACACTTGGATTTGAGTCCTAGCTCCGCCATTTATGACCTATGTAATCCTGGGGCTCATTATGTAACCTTATTGAGTCTAAATTTTTTTTTAAATAAGTATTTGGGGTTCTAATGCTTGCCCTACTTGTTCCTTTGCTCCTGAACATTTGGAGACTAAGTTATCCACTTGGGGGTCACAAGTTCTCTTCTTGTTTAAAACCTTTAAACTGTAGGACAGGAATGCAGCGCCTATTTAGCATAACTCCTTTTCTACTTATCATAGGTGAACCACCCAAGTTTCCCATTGCTATTCATCTTACTTCCTTCTTCTAAAACTAAAATAAGATGTAAGTCTCGATGACACTACTCTAAGCTCCCCACATCTCCTTCACTGTCCCTTCAGAATTTTTTATCACATTTTCAACTACTTGTCCAGTGTCTGTCTTTCCTGTTAGACTGGAGGTATAATGAGGGAAAAAACCCAGTTTGTATTGTTCACCATCATATATGCAGCACAAGTGCTTAAAACATAGTAGTTAGTCAGTACCCATTGCCTAATTGAATGAATGAATGAATGAATGAATGATTTTAGAAATGAAAGATAGAAAAATCTAAAGCCCCAAAAGGGTGAACAGACTGCTGAAATTTTTTGAAAGTACCTAACATTGACTGCTTTTATTATTTACAGACCATTAGGAGTGATTATCATATTCACTTAGCAGGACTGGGACTCTGGCTGCTTTGATGAAAATCTTAAAGAGATGAGGGAATATTTATCTCAGTGCTCTTGACTTTTTGTCTGACTGTCACTGATGTGGGTCTCTAGTGTCACTTAAAGTTCAGAGCACAGTCTCCATTCGATTATCCCTCTGATACCTAAAGGCCAACTTGGTGACATCTTTAGCATCCTGTTGCCTCAGGTACAATTTTATAGAGGCCCCACTCCTATTACTAACAACCTTAGTGATTCAAAGTTAATTTATCGTCATGATCTATTTATGCCAACAGAGGTCATTAACTCTCCTTTGTGACAAGTTTTGGGTTGGTAATAAGCTATCCATCTGACACATGAACTATCTAAGGAAGTGTATTGGGTAATTTTCTATGCTCTATTAATGTTTTCAGGTTACTGTTTTGGTTGCAAGGAATTAGTGATCCTCCTGTATTCTAGTAAGGACAATCATGAAAACTGTACACACTCCCAGTGGGCTTCTTTGCTCATTGTTTCATGGAGTGTCCTTTAAGCACCTACTATGTACAAGGTTCTGCAGGAATACTAGAAACCATCATGTAGTCCTGGGCCCAGAGTGCCTGTTCCGCTGTCTAGTGAGGAGTGTGGTGGCTCAGTGGACTGACCGTTGTGACACTGTTGATGGATGTTATGCTAAGAGCAGCCTGGCAGACTCTGGAGCACATGGGAGAAGTACGTAAGGCTAGGGAAAGGGGAAATGCCTCAAAGGAATATCTCTATGGAGCAAGTAAGGTTTTATCTTTTGCTATTTTCTTAACCCATGCTGTTCAAATTTTATCTTCCATTACCAAGCAGCTTGTCCAGCTAGTTTTTCTTAAAAAACGCATCCTTTCCTAAGAGGAATTTGGGTATTAGTTGTTGAAACTTTGCTTTAATGGACTACTTCTCATTACTAACAACTTTTTGTGATGCAAAGAGAGGATTTCAGTTGAGCTTAAATAAAGAAACCCTGTGTGTAAGTGTGTTTGTGTGCAGGTGTGCACTTATACGTGCTTAGCACATCAAAACCATGGCAAAATATGGAGGAAGAAGCATGTATTTTTTGAATAATGAGTAGCTTAATTGGTGTGGAGAAGAATATTTCAGATGTACCTGAAGTTATGGTTTTAAAGGTCAGTCTTAGCCCCGTCAAAGCTCCAACTATTAGACTTCGGAGTTTGTTCTTTAAACAGAGGCATTTGGATTTGTTTTTGAATAATGATGTATTATGTTCCCCATTTCATCCACGATATAACTCAAGATCCTTTATACATGAGTATGAAGTCCTTCATCATTTTTTCTGCTTTGTTTTACTGAACTAGTTGTGTCATTAATACACCACTTGGTTTCTGTTTGGGCCTGTATTTGGTATAATCTTGAAGTGGTATGGTAATTAAAAAAAACTTATTCCCCATAGCCAAGAAAGTATTCAAATTATTTATAAATATTCCACAAAACCTCTACAGGAATCCACTCTAACTCTGTCACTGGCCCTCTTCCTTCCTTCTTGATTTTGACAAAACTCATCGACACTTCATAGATACTCTCTCCGCAAACTGCCCAACTGCTAGAGAAAGAAGGGAGCAGTGTGTTCCTGTTTGTGTGTGCATCCCAGTCAGTGTATTTGTGTATTTTTTATTTGTAATCTTTTATAGTGTAATCTTTATTTGATTGGATGATACAGTGCTAGAAACATAAAAAAGACAAAAACACTGTTATTAGGAATAATTGAGAATGGGTGGATGGAATGAATGTCTTAACTCACCTGTGTGACTTGTCATCCAGGTAAGTGGAAGATAGCACAGGAGAGAGAAACAAAGTGGGACGGACTGAAGGTAAGACAAGGACTAACTTGGCATACAAGGAACAATGGGTGAAGTGGAAATGAGCTTTGAAAGTGGTTAATCTAACACTGCTATTGAAACAGAACTGTTTTCAGTAACACTCAGAGACATATGTGGCTATGAATAACCATAACAGAAAGTGAAGACCAGGAGGTTAGACTGACCAGATTTTCCATGTTAGTCAGTGTTTTGGGTTGAAAACAGGTACAGAAGTCTATTGTGCCCTGGTTGCTCAAAATCCATGAACCATGAGAACAGTTGGATTTCCAGGTCCAGACTTTTAAAATTAATCACAAACATGTTATGGAAGGGTCTGAGCAGAATGAATTCTTCATTTATAAGTGACTCAGCAAACATCAAAGTAGCGTAAGGTTTGCATTTTTCCAATAATTTTTTTCTCTAATCTAAAATGTTTTATTCTACTGGCTGACATGGACTTAAAAGTGCCAGAAAAAATACAGGTGATAACAAATTATTTTTTAGTGTAAGAATGCTGCAAATGTTTCATGGCATGTACTTATACTACAAACTGTACGTTGTTTATCTGAAATTAAAATTTAACTGGTTTCCTGTGCTTTTATTTCTAAATCTTGAAATCATACATATGTTATGTGTATATTTCACAGATAAAAGTTTATAGTACTTAATAAAGCAATTTACATGCCCCATCAGGTTTTTGCTTAAAATAAATTTTAAATAACTTCTCTCAGCTCTCAGCATACATACTTAAACACTGAACAAGGGAGAATAAGTCTTCAACCGATCCTAAGTTGTTTTAGTGAAAATGTTTGGTTTCTTTTTTAATGCTTTTTCTTTGCTTAATGTCAAAATGTATGCTTTAGAATTCTTCATTTTCTATAATATTTTAAAGACAGTAACAATAACTCAATAAACATTAATAACACAATAAAAATTTACTTTTAAATAATCTAATTTTCTGAGCTATTCACCATTACTCAAAGCTGCTATCTTCAAACAATTCCATAACATGAAAAAACAAACCCCAAAAAAGCAACCAGACAACTCCACTGAAATAGTCTGTGTCTGAGGGAGTTTTAAAAGGTATGGTTTGTCTTAAGGATAGGTTTGGTCTATTATTTAAACCTGTGACTTAAATAAATAAAATATATTAATGTGAAATTCTTCAGATTGATACATTTCTGAGGAAAATATTCCCAACTGGAACTTCAGCTTTGAGTAGAGAGTAATTCAATGTCCTCCTGTAATTTCTTATCGTTGGAGGGCTAAACAATTTCACCAGGAAACAGTTCAGAGTAAATGCAATTTCTCCCCATGTCTGAGTCTAAGGCTCAACAGATTAGTTTCAAAAATGGCAGGGCAACATGTGAAACAAGGCATGAGGAGAATTTCAACCACCTATGCATGGTAAAAAGAAGACACAGTTAGATAGATACCTTTGCTTTGGAACATTTACAAAGTTATTATGTTTTGGGGATGTAGAATAATTATAAGAATTACAAAATGAAATTTGCTTCTTTAATTTGATAAATCTTCCTACATGTAGAAAGGAATTAATTTTTTAAAGCCACAGTAAGCCTGTGCATAATTAGAAGGGAAGTCTGTTATTTGTGTGACAGAATTATAGGGCAAAAATGATATTCATTTCATTTCCTATCTCTAGGCTGGAAGGTAGGAGAGTTGTTAGAGAGAAGTCTCAACATTTTCAGTAAGAAAAATATATGTAATAGCTAAGACTGTTCTTTGGAAAAAGCTTTTCCAGAAGCTCACAGTATAGTGCTTTCATAATTGAAAAATGTTAATTATGTCTTTTTCTGATTATCTTTCACTGTTATGAAGACACTTTTCTGACTTGGAGAGTGACAGGAAGATGATTAGATTAGCAGCTGTGAGTTAAGGTAGGCATGCAAGATGTACTTATAAAATGAATGAAGGAATAATTACACCAAATAAAGAGAAATTCCACCATTTTGAGCTCCTTCTTTTAAAGAGATTTGAGTAAGTGAGTAAACAACTTGAATAGAGAAGTGAGAGTGAGGGAACACTTTGAAGAAAAATATATTTTGGCTTGTGGGACTTAGCTTTTCTAAGGAATGTGTTCAAGTTATGTCTAAGATATTAAATAGCTCAGGAAAATAGAGGGGTTTACTTTTAGAAACTAAGGTAGAAAATGGAAGAATGAGAAAATAGCCTTGCAAAGGAACAGAGATATCTAAGGTGAAATGTTTATCAAGTTTCTATTGTATGGAGAAAATTATTTTCTGTACTTCCCTATGAAATTTTCCACAAAATACTTGAATTTTTTGGGTTTAATATGGTGGGATTGACTCTATCCTGGGGATTGGTTACAAGGTGGGCACTGCACAAGAATGGTCCTCTGTGTCCATGGAAACCATACACATCTGGATATTAGGCAAAATTCTTTATTCATTTCCTTGCTCAGAATTCTTCAATTGCTACTGATAATCCTTAGCAGTGATTTTTCAAGTCAGTTGGAAAGGAGGAGATGCTGTATCAATCATCTGAGGCATTTTCCAAAACACATATGGTAACCATGTGTATTTGGAAAAGGGGTACTATATGATTCTCCTATTTTCTCCCTAGAGCCTTTATTCATTTATGAATGACTGGTCTATGGAATAAAACTCAAACTTGCATAGTATACAAAGCTGTAAAGATGTGGTTTGTATTTTTCTTTTCAAATTTATTTGGTTATTCCTTCTCCAGTCTCTATACTTAAAACTTACATGTTTTGTGTCCCAATCATCCTTTTTCTTTGCATTTGCTAATGCTGCTGTCTTCTCTACTACTTCTACTCTTACTCGTCAAAGTCCACTATACTGCTAGTATCACCTCCTTACTCCTGGAATGGTTTGTTTGTAACTAGTGATGCATACTTAAATGTCTGTTTTTGTCTAAGCTATGATATCTTTCAGGATTGGAGCCATCTGTATCTTTGTATGCTCAAGGGACATTGTAAAGTCAAGCACATAGTGGGTTCTCAATAAAATTTGTTAATGAATAAAGAAAGTAAAGAATAGAGCTTGGGGTTGATGGGATAGTGGTATTGGCAGATATGTCAACATCTCTTGCCCATTTTATTTCCAAGGAAGCACCAGAGATAAGCATATTTGTGAATGCTTGCTGTTTTTTCCAACAACTAATTTTATAGGTCCATATGGGATAAATTATCTGATAAAGTGTTTTTTGTTGTTTGTATAGCCCAGAACCTGATAATTTGGCTGACATATATTTTCCTTTTTAAAAGAAAAGCAAAATTGCTTTTAAATATGGAAACCACACATAATCCTAGAATGAGGACATTAAAGCACCACAGAGAGAAGACTTTGCTTGGAAAATTCTTGAATCCACCTCTTTCTGCCATAAAGAACATGCACATTGATATGTAGATGGTGGAGGAAATAGGGTAGAGAGATGAAAAATTAATTGACATACTATCTTTACCTACTGTTGTGAATGACCCAATGGGAAAAAAGAAAGAGAGAAAGTATGGTGGGAAGGAAAAGGGAGGAACGTGGAATGGCATCTTTGAGTCGCCTAAAGGGAAGAAAGAATAAGGAATAAGTTTGTGTGAGGGAGGAAGGAGGCATCTGGTTGATGGTGAGGGTTTCACCCCAAAGTCTAACTTTAACGAGGAAGTGCAGGAATATCCTGAGGCCGGAATCAAGACTCCACATTCTCCAGCCATGTTGACCTCATGAGGAGGTCGTAAGTAAGCAGAAAGGGCCCTCATATTGGCAGCTTAGGTCTGCAAGTTGAAGAATCCAAGTTATATTTTGCTCTGGGATAAGAAGCTCTGCCACCTGTGTCCATAAAGAGTGCTCACTGAGAAATTACTGTTGAGGAGTGTGACAGTGGCATTTTCCTCAGTCACTCAATGGATTTGTTGCTTTGATTTTTATTTTGTAGTAGAAGAAAGCTTTACTGTGCTATTAATTCGGTGCTTTTAGGCAAATTAATCAGGTGACATTACATCTTCCAGGAGAGGATAAAGATGGCAACACCAATTCTTGTATAATTATGCCCATCAAGAATGTAGAAGAATGTACAAGAAGTAGACAAGAATGTGAAGACAACTGCAGCTCTAGATTTAACACGAGTAACTCGTGGGTACCTCTGGTAAATAGATAAGATTGTTCTTTTTTTCTAACATAGTGACAGTGGTCAGGACTTCATAAGCATCTACTGGCCACTGCTGACTGCATCCCAGGAAAGATAACGATAGGAAGACTCAGCAAGCATCTAAGCTGGTGCCTTAGGTCTTCTAATTACGATATTACATGAAATAAGACCTTACTTTGTATCCACAGCGGAGGAAGTGGGACATATAGGTTGCAGTCATCGATATTAGACAACTGTTCTCTGTGAAGCTCACTGTGCCCCGCACATGTAACAAGACACTGAAAAGTTAAAATCTCATTTTTTGTATTAATAGAATATACGTCACATTCTGCATTCACCTGAATACCTTGTGGATGTAGTGAAGTTGATAAAATATATATAATAGCACTATTGCTCAAGTCAAAAAATGAAAATTTGTCATGTTTATATATATATATTTATGAAAGAGTTTAAAACCATTTAAACAGTTATATTTTGTTTATTATTGTTTTGATCTATAACACTGGAAGCCACGATGAATTGAAGAGTCTGAGGACTAAACAATCATTTAATAATAATAGTTTCCAATACAGAATTCTGAATTGTAACTATATGAAGGTATATTCCTTTTTGAAATATTTATGATATCTTCAAAACTGAAAAATAACCAGTTTTTTTGTAATGTTAATTTTGATCACAGAAGTTCATTCTTTAAAATGCGGAAGAGGCTGTAAACCTATCTGTATGCAACTGTATAGAACCAAAGGTTGCAAAAGTGGTATTCATTCCTCTTCTTGCTATGTTCACCAGCTGGAAGAAAGATTATCAGATGTGGAGTCCAAAACTTGAGCTCTGGTCCTGGTCCAGTTTATAAGTATTTGTGCAAACTTTTTGGCAAGCCACTCTTTTTTAAGGTTTCAGCTTTCTTTTATGTAAAATGAATGGATTGAACTCAAAATCTCTAAGTTTCCTTTTAACATTAATGGTTCAAATATGTGATTCTGTCCATTTTCCCCTGTTGCATTTGTTATTGCAAAGTGGCTAAAGTCCAGAGAGGGTCAATGCTTAGCTAGACTCAACAAATATTTTTTGATGTACTGTATTTCATTTGCCAGGAAGAACAATAGGCTTCCATTAAATAAGCAAATCAGTAAGTGGAGACCAGTTCATTATACAGAGGCATGATCTACACATTTGCTGAAGAGTCTCAGATGCTAACAGGTCATAGAAAAACTAACTGTCCCAGGAAATATTTCTATATATATAGCCAGAATTTCTTTTTTTCTTTCTTTTTTTTTTTTTGATACCATGGATCAAACTCGGGTCCTTGAGCTTGCGCAGCAGGCGGCGAAACCACTGAGCTAAATCCTATATCCAGGATTTCATTGATTTGCTTTACGTATTGCTACTTTCATAAATTCTAGGATTGTAGAAATCAATCCAAAAACTAATCAACAAAAAAATTCTATTGATAGGAGTCGAAACACTTTAGGGTTGAATTTTCTAAGCTATCTTCCAGACATTTGAATAGGGAGTATATGAAAGACAAGAATATGAAAGAAAATTGTCTCATAACATCTTTGGAAATGACTCATTTTACCATCCCTTCTCAATTCTTCTCAGTCAGGCTAATATCTTTAACTTAGAATGCATCTTAGTGATTTTTAGAAGCAAATTCATTAAACCAACAAAGAGTTAGAAATATTTTCATTATCTGTTCATGAATATAACAACACAAGCTCAATTTGATACTTTCTTGCATTACGTATTATCATAAAGGAACTTAACCACATTTTCAAAAACTGTTATTAACTTTATTCAAGAAGCCCATGGGCATTTAGGAACAAAACAAAAGCAGCCTTGGACTTTAGTCAAATTACACAAAGAAGTTAAACTTAGGGATAAATGTCTTTATTGTGTTTGTTTATTTTTGTTCCTTTTTAAAACAGTGAATTGTGCCTTTCATTATAAAAGAATGCACACCATTGTGGCTTCATATATAATGCTAATTAGTTATCCATCTATGTGTGTATATGCCCACACCAAATGCTTTTTGATGTACAGAATCAGAGTTGCTTGGAACTTTTACATAAAAAGCTTAAGACCACCCAACTTGAACTAGTAATTACTTCAGCAAATAGTAGTATGCTTTTGTTTAGGAAATGTGCATTTGAGAGTATGCATTTTAGTGTGTTTCTAAAATGATGATTCTCTTATTCATTCTCTAAAAAGTAATGCAAGCTTTGGTGTGAAACTCTGAATTTGACTCCCAAACAAACATCTCATGTAATAAAAAAGATAGCCCGTACCTTACAAAGATGGTACAAGTCCTACCTTCAAAGCTGTACTTTGTATGCAAGCTACCTTCTACTTAACTGGGGTGATCAGGGAAGAACTGCTCCCCATAATAGGCACACCCACTGCAATTACAAGATTAAAAAGACTCACTTTATCTAGAGGAGAATGTAGTTTAGACAACTCTTACCTATTTATAGCTGTATTTGTAGTTATGTTGCCCTTAGAGAACTTGTACTGTCTACTTCTCTCTCTGTATATTTTTGAAAGGATGCCAGATATATGTTCATACAAGAAAGGGACCTGGAGCTAGAGAGGAAGAAATACAGTCCTAACCTCTGAACAGTGACCATATCAAAAAAGTTTATGAAACATAATGTATTTGAATGCTGTTAAGATCGGAAAAAATTTAAAAATATCAAAAATATATTTTACTCAATTTCCTAAATGTATTTTGTTTATTCACTTGCTCAAATAACTTCATGCCCTTCTTTTATGCATGATTTCATTGTGGCTTTTGGTTGAATGACATTTGCATGTTTAGTCAGTCTATTTTGGTGTGGATTTATTTCAGGGATGGGTAGCGGGAAAAGAACAAGGAAAGGCGTATAGGCAGATATGGCTTCCACTGTGATTGTACAACATGCTTGGTACTGAATTACAGAAGAGAATTATCAATGGTAGAGGAAAAATTTCCTTTACATTCACCAAAATTTTTCTGAAAAACAAATAGGACAAAAATGGAGAAAATGATATCTTCAGTAACACGTAGGGGTAGCTCAAATTCCAACACCCAACATGAAAAACATAGTTGCTAACACCGTATCATTAAATTTGAATGTGAAGGAAGGGAGATATGAAGAGTTGACAGGTTTTTTTTCTCCTCAAACCTAAAACAAGAAAAATATTTTTCTAAGATTATCTTTAAAAGTCTACAAGGATCTATGTATAAGAAAAATAAAATCTAAGTATATGAGTGACCTGAAAGATCCAGGAAAACGAATCCTGTAGAACCCAGTTGTAACTCTGAATAGAAAAATGGCGGTCCCAGAAGAGACAACACGCTTGGAGCTGGCACATCATTTTCTCTGAATAGTCAGTGTCTGAACAGTGAGCGAGGTCTCTGAAAAGTCAAGGTAGTTAACAATGGGAAACCCTGAATTATAAGTGAATTCGCTTTTTACTTTCCTTATAAAAATTTGATACACCTCAGAGAACTTTTCAATTTCATTTTTGCCCTCTGGGGAAAGGGCTGTACACACTCCTGCTAATAGTCCAGTCTCCATGACAGCCACACGGCTTCCATCCCAACTGGGGGCCAGTGGTACAGATATTTGGTGAGGTATAGTGTTTTCTGCCCCCTTGACATTCTTTTAGCAGAAGGAAATGGAGAAGGGAGGAAGAGGGAGTTAGCGCCAATGTCCAACGAGTGCTTGTGATGTAAGTGGTTCCAACTGAGATACACTGACCTCTTTGGAGAAAAGCAAAGCAAAAGGGGAACAGAGGGAAAAAAGAAACAGTAGTTTTGGTGAAAAAATTTTGAAACAGAAGGATTGGGAGATCCTGGATCAGCGTCGTAATACACACTTGCGTGGGCTCTCTTGCTGCATTACGCTCAAACATATGCATTAATCATGAGGGAAAAAGTGTGAGTATTATGCATTTGCTGTCTTGGTCCTTTGGATCTCAACTATGCTCAGCCCTTCCAAACTGGCTCTTGTATTTCCCAGGACTGAAACCCCCAAAATTACATTTCACCAACTCACTTGTCTGTTGGGTTTCCGTTAGGATCTTCCAGTAGGAGGTACTGACAGGAGGTAAAAAGGCAAGAGGAAAGAAGTCATTTCCTCATGTTATTTTTGTCCTGGTAAGTGTCACTCTGCAGGTAACTGGTCCTCATGCAGCAAAGGTGTTTGTAGGAGCTGTACTGGCAGGGGCAGGGGGCCTGAAGTTGCGGAAGTGGCAGAGCTGCTCCAGCGGTCTTAGGGGTAGGCACAGTTATGGGCTCCTTGTGACACTATGTTGTCCTGTATGCTTCACGAGACCAGTGGCTGGGGTGGCTTCCTCTAGTTCCTGGTCTCTGTGGAGCATTGCTACCATTCATTGAGCCCTTCTAATACAAGAACATTGTTATCTGTTTGAAATATGTACAGTGGTCTTCTCTGGGTACTACCTAACTGCAAAGCAGTAAAATAACAGAAGCAAAGAACATAAGGAAAAGGGCAGAAAAGGCACATAAGGAATTAAAATATACAGTATGAAAGGATTTATTCATGGACACAGAAGCTATTATCTTGTAAAAAATATTACATATTCTTAAACTGTAGATGATGAAATTTACTTTAAATTTAACAGCTCAAAGAGATAGAAGAATTCAAGGATGAAGGAACTACAATAAAAATATTTTTTAAAATGGAAAGAAAAAGTAGTGGCAGAATTTAAGAAGGAAACAGAAAGGAAACATAAACCAAGGCAGAAAGAAAATACTATTTGATATAGTAAAATGAGCACAACTAAAGATTGGCAAGAGAATTCACATGAAACAACACTTAAAAGGAGAAAAAAAATGATAGAAATGATATCAATATGGCAAATAAATTAGAAACTATAATTGGTTAAAAAAGGCCGTAGAAAAAATACACAGATAACAATGAAAGTGTCTCAGAGAAAATATTCTTGAAATGAAGGAGAACTTGAATCTGCAGAATAAAAGGAAGCCAAGACATAGTGTGTAAAGTTATTTAATTTTAGTAAAAAAGAAAGAATTATACGGAAAAAACCCAAAACAGATCAATAGGAAAAACTTAAAGTAATCCACATGTGCAGTACTCAGTAGCACAAGATACCAGAGTAACCCATATAAATTTTTTAGAGGAGGAAAAAGTTTCACCAAAGAATTTTCTATTGTTTTTGCACACAGGCATAAAGAGTAAGAGTCAAGTGATTTCAAATGTAGGAATTAAAAGCCTTTCTGCATCTTTTTTGAAAAGAATTGACAATAAAATCCTTCAACCAATAGATGAATGAATGAATCTAGAAAAGGAGAAGCCATAGAGATTGAACTAGTGGAGTTGATTGAATTTATGTAAGTATTAACTAAAAATTTACTACACTAGTATTATTAAGTTGTCATCACTGAAGTACAAGGAGGCCCTAAGCTTTCACTTGTATAAGCATAAACACCTTATAATATACTTTATAATTTAATACAAGCAGAAACTTTTAGGAAGAAAAGTTAGAGAAAGTACATATGTTACATATGTACAGCAGAAATCTAAAAGAAACTATGGGCTTGGATATGTGATTTTAAATTAATACCTGTAGTGGATTGACTAACAGTCAACTTGTAATGCCCAGGTGAACTGAGTCAGTGTGGTCTGGGCGTGGAGGATCCACCTGAAAATTGTTACCAATAGCCACAAAAAGAAAACTGGAGGGGAAGATCTTGCCCTGTTGATTTTCTAGGAGAAGCTTGCTGCAGATGGTTTTCCTGATGTGAACTAGGCTGCTCCCTTCAGAGGAGGAGCTCAGGGCCTTGCTGTCACTGGGAATGGCTGCTGTTTTCATCAGGGGAGCTCTGATCTTCACCATGAGCATCTCTTCCTGGCTCCAATGTGGATCCCTCAGTCTGCTCGCACAAATTCTTCATCTCACCAGCGTAGGTTTTCTGGCTTCTACCATTGGCCTTTGAGCCTTTCAGCTGCAGATCCTCAATATGGACCAGCATGAGACAGTGCTGTGGGCTCTAGGCCACTGGCTGGACTTGAGGAGGACTTGTCCAGGAAACTGCTGGGATCCAGGCCCTCAGCTGAATCCTCTGAGCTTCTAGTGTGCAGTTAATCTCTCTCACTCCTTTGCATTTGACTCTTTGGGTAATTATCAAAAAGTAATGTTAGAAATTATATGTTCAGTATTTAGTGTATTCCCTTGTCAAATCCTGCTGACTACAACAAAATCGTGTATTTATATAATATTTTATTAATATCAATCACATAGTTTTATATGATCTACTACCTATAAGGCTTTGTTTAAAAAGAGTAGTTTTCATAATAAATACACGATTATCTAAATCAAAATAATGAGGGCTTTTCATCTCTTCAGAGGGAAGATTTTTCTAAAACATAAGAAGGAAGAGTTAACATTTCAAGACCTCCTTGTAGGTAATTTAAGTTTAATAATAAATTGAGCCCATAGGAGAAAATATCAAAAGAAAGTAAAACAAGAATCATCCACTCTAGGGCTTTATTTTTTATCTTTTCACCTTGGTATATAGCAAAACCATAAGCAAATCTGTAAGATCAGGCCCGAGAGTTAGGCACACAATTTTAACGACTGGAGCACACAAGGAGGCACCAAATGAGCCCTCACAACAACTCCGTGATAGAAACCGTTTCATGTTCCAGGGCTCCTGCTGGGAGGACATTCTTTGCATTTTGTTCGTTTGGGCTGTGTTATATGATGTTCTGCTAATGAGTGGAATAAATGTATCTATGTGGTAAAAACCAAACCAAGAATTCTTAAATCTTTAATTATTTAGGGGAGTACTGCACATGAAAGACTGGGCGCCTTTTCCCTTAAAACCCACAATGTTGATGGGTTTAATACTAAAATCTAAATATTTTTTTCAAGGCAAATCTAAACAATCAAACAAAGTGCATATTTTACATGCTCAGAGGGCTTACATTTATGTGCACATGAGTGCACGAGTGTGCGCACACACACACACACACCCAAGGAGCAAACCCCAATGCTTTAAATTGCTTTTGCCACCCTCTGCTCACACCCACTAGCATAAAAATTAAGAACTTTGGGAAACATTTAGTTTATAAATTGACCTAATTTTAAAAATAATACATGAATAAAAAATTTTAATTAAGTGATTATTCTTACAGGCCGGAAAATTAATCAACACTATAAGAAGAATGAGAATTTTGTATGCTATAATCCCAAGGCTAACAGGGTTTTAGGTGAACAGAAGTGATCCCAAAGAAATGTATTTAATTTCTCTCATCAAAAGTCCAATCATTGAGTTGCACAGAATGAAACATAATTACATTTCTATAGTTATAACAGCTAACAGTCAAAATGTAGTATGTTCCTTGAAATACGTAGAAAAGTATTACATTAACACTGTAGTACTTCAGACGTTTTTAAACTTTTTATTTCATTTATTATAAATGTTCATTATAGGTTATTCAGGAAAAAGAATTAGAAATAAAAATGCATTTTATTAAGATAAAAATCATTGTAAGTCACAAATAAGATTTTATTTATTGAGCGAAATCACTTAGAGGATATGTCGTAGTTCAATTGGAGAGAAATTAGGCTTCTTAAAGTCTTTTTTTTTCTTTTAAACTGCTTCACTCTAAATACCTCTGCTTGTATGTGAATATGTGCATGTGCATTCTTAGGTATTCAAGTGTTAATGTATACAACAATTGACAGCCATAGGGACCCTAACATTCACTAACCTCCAAATTTAATTTGGCGGGTGACACATAAAGAAACTTACATGCAGAGAAAAATGTCCTGATTTTGTTTTGTTTTGTTTTATAGCACTCAGCTTTGTTTTCAAGCTATCTGCAGTGGTATCCAAGTAAATATGCTAAACATATCCTTGACCATCTTTAGCTGTTTCTTCATTTATGTAACACTACTGAGTTTTAAGAAAAAGATTTCCTGTTGAACTGAGAATTTTCTCTTTGCCAATTCTGTTTAAGCAAATTAGTATTTGTCACTATCCAATCATACTTGATGACTGACATATTGCAATAGTCCACTGTCTACAATTGTATAATTGAATGTAAAACACTGAGGCTTAGACCTTACCCTGGAGAAAGGAGACATATTTGAATATTTCATCACAAGAGGGTGGAACCATGTTAACTTTTTATTTCATGTAAACACAGTCATAATACCATTTAGAAAATATATGGAAAGTGAAAGCTAGAAAGAATCTCAAACGTGCTTTGAAAATATTAGTTTAAATTCTAAAATGTAAAACATCAGTGTAGTCAATCAAAACATGTGATCTGATTTTCACTTCCTGTACTTTCTCCACTGAGAGACTCTATCAGTAGAGATAGGCCGGACCAGGATTGACAGACCATCGACTCACACAAAACCTACTTTATCGACATTGACAGTTTTGTAAATAAAGCTTATTGAATGTACTTATGCATATTCCTGCACACCCCCCTTCAATTCACATATAGCGGCAAGGTTGAGTAATTTCCACCAAGATCTTTTGACCTATGCAGCCAAAAATACTTATTATCTGGCCCTTCACACAAAATGTGTGGCCCCTTCCTGATCTAAACTACACGGTAATAATTAACAGTGTCCTAACTGCTCTGTCTGAGCATAAGGACTTTTACTTCTCACTGATGGAGGATGACATATGTGCATTGCTATGATTGTTAGAGTTAGGGTGCACCTTGCCACATGGTTCCAAGGGCAAGGGACTTGTAGACGTTTTACTTAGACATTCTATGTCAATTTCACTCATTTTTCTTTGGCCTAAGCAAGGCACATAACTATGCTTGCCTTTATGCTTCACAGGAAAACAAAACACTGCAATGCTTGTATGTGGAAGGGACATTAGGACACGTGCAAAATAGTCTTAACAGATATCAAAGGTAGATTATCTTATGATTGGAAGGGTAGGTATCACAATCTTAAATTATTGAGCTAGCAATAATAATCTGGCTTGGAAAGCTAAGCATGAAACATAAGTTTACAATAAAATTGTAATGTGTGGAGCAGTCATAAAATAAAATCTATTATTCACATTGCAAGCAAAGAATTTAAATGCATCTATAATATATATGTATAATAAGATAATATATCTTAATTATTAATGCACATCTGTAATGATTATACAATCAATACTGTAAATTATAAAGTGGTGATTAAAGATGTTGCATAAAATATTTAAGCCATCTGGTGGTTATTGCTATTTCATAATTGTTTAAAACTTTAATGAAGGCTGGAATAGTTTTCTAGATCTATATAGTGTACCATGGATAATAAACTAGACAAAAGTTAGAGAGCCAAGTTGTTAATTTTGCTTACAAGCATACATTTTAATGTCTTGCAAATTTTCAATGCCATTAATGTAGTAAACTATAAAGATCTA